TTGAACAATACTGTCATCTCGGACATTAGTTCAGCCCGGGTTCATGGCCTCCCCACCTGCCAAGTCTTCTCTATCTAGGCTAGCTTCTGTTCAATTTTTGCCTTCATTTGAAAAGCTTCTGAGAAAAAGGATAAGTTCCTTGCCTTAAAAACACCTAGTTCGGTGCCCTTCTAAACTATTTGACCTTTAATGGTTGTTTTCAACTTTTATAAGCTCCAACATCCATTCCCATTTCATTTCGGCATTGCGTTTTTTAGTCAAGTAGAGTGGGATTCAGCTCAAGTCGAGGGTGATAAAATAATATGGCCCGCTGCCAACGTAGTCCAACTTGTCAGGGTTTTAACTCGAGCTGCTCTCAGTTTGCCCACGCTCCGCTCTCTTTCGGAATGGAATCCAGCTCTGTCACTTCGTACCAGCTACCTCACGGTTCCCATCTTGTCGTATTAACCCCTCCCCAACTTGAATACTCTAGGTTCACGGTCTACGGAAGAACAGCTACGATTCCAGGGTAGGCACATACAATGACACACACCGAAACACATACATAAGGACCACACACCAAAACACACACATGCCGACTTGCACACATATCGACACACACGCTCGCCAACACATACAGACTGACACACACACGACACAACGACACACACATCGACGCACACACCGACATACACAGACGCACATACCGAACCACTCGTTCCAATACATACACACCGACACACATGCAAACGGAAACACACGCATACGCACGCACATATACTGACAAGCACTGACCCACATGCCGACACACACACATCAACACACACTGACACACGCAGATGCACACGGGCACACCGACACACACACGCACGCACACCGAAACACAGACACCGACATATACACACAGACACGCACACCCAGTGACACACACACGCATACACCGAAACACACAGACATGCATATCGAAGCACGTGCGCACCGGCACATACACTGACACACACTGACACACATACCGACCCATACATACACCGACACAGACACACACACACTTTTGCGCGCTATGTATGGTAGGATAGCATCGTATTGCTTCAGCCATGCCTCCGGTTTTCTTGAAAAATCTGAACCGTTTATTAAGGAAAATAAATATTTTGTTAACACAAGTGAATTAAGTTAAATCTAATTGTTAATAACAATATTTAGTCTATTTTATGTGAAATAAGGCATTAGGCACGTGTACAGACAACAAATATATAATTATTCCTTATAATGACTAGAACTGCAATAAAATATACCGGTATTGATTGATTTACAGTGAAAATAGAAACTTCTAGAAAACGACATCAGAAAATAGGCGGAGATCCTGCACATTAGGCCAGCGCCAAAAGGGCGCCAAGGCGAAAGCTCAAACTGTGAAAGCTCATTTGTATTGAATTTGGCCATACTGATCGATTGATCGATTGATTAGGAGGCGGCTGTGATTTGGCTGATGCTCATTTCTTCTTCAATCGATGCCATTGGAGCCACGATATTGCGATCAACTCCTTGGCTGAAAATTTGAAAAATTTGAAGAAAAGACCTTAGTTTGTCAGAGGAAAAAGTTGCTCGAAGCTGGGGTAATGTGCAGCTGGGAAGCCTTCAATCTTATTTTGCCGGGAAGTAAGGTCCATTTGAATGTATTCCTATCCGCTAAAGTGAAGCTCCGATCAGTGACGCGCGCAGTCGCGTCGCGGCTAATCTAGTATTGCAACGATGCGCTGATTGTGCAGCCCTATCAGACACAAAGCCTTTTTGCACACTAGAATTATGTGATACGCATCTTAACATATAACCCATAGCCCAAGAGAAACATCTGGGAAGAACCTTTCATGATGTCTCCCAATAAGTGAGAGTTTGGGTACAGGTAGGAGACAGTTTGAAGGAGCCATGTAGGAAAGTAGAGCACAGTGACGTCCTTTCATTACTTTCTATTGCCCTGCAGGCTAGTTGCGTATAGTAGCGTTTCCTAGCCCTTCTCATTAAACTATCAGAAGTATCAGGGATACTTTCTAGTTGCAACTCAAAGAGGGGAAGGGGTAAGAATTCGTGCAATACGAAACGTCCGTTGAATCCCCCGATCAATACTCGCCCACAGACTGACCAGTGTCAGAATAAAATCATTCATCTCCTAGATATTTCGGAAGGAAGTTCACAATATCCTTCGGAAGTGGGCGGACCCATCCAGTGGACTAAGCTCTACACCAGATCTACTTGCTATGGTATATCGCGTCGTCTCGGGGAACAGCACGGGAGGAGAAAACTATTCTTATGGGAGATTAATAAAAATCAGAAAATGCTATGGCATAGGTAAAGTTGGTGCTGGTCGAAAACAGGTTCACTTACCTGATTGTTGCTGAAGCTCCGTTTTCTTTGACTACTTGGGCTACCTCGGCGATTTTCGCCGAGCCGTTCTTATCGCTCTTCACTCCATTATTGTCCTGATAGAAGAGGATCAGCGTCTCCAGATTCGGTGGCTAAAACATCTGGGAATCATCCGAATGAATAAATACAAACCAGCTGCATTTGGGAAGTTACCTGCTGAGAATTGACATTACTCATCAGTGTTTCAATCGATTCACGACGCCCAGAATCGAACACGCTCCCATCTGATTGCCTAGAATTGGTACTGCAATGAGAATTAATTTTCAAACTGTAGCGACCCTCCCATTTCGAAATGAACCCAAATGGGATTCAGAGGCCTACCCATTCATTATCTTCCTGATGGCGCTATCGATGAAAGGACTTCTTATGGGGCTACTCCACGACGAATCATCTGCGTCTGATGAATCGGACACTGAATCCAGCAGACGGGCGCTTCTGAAACAAATTATTGGGACATGAAGATAGAACAAATTGGTATCTTGACTTTATAGGGGTTAAGTTTACGGTGCGTAGAAGGCTTATAGACAGGTTCATATCCCGGGTGAGTCCGAAGTTTGCCCATGGAAGAGCTTAATTATGAACTTACTGGAACGAGAGTACATAGTGAATACAATGCCGCATGGTGGTGAAAAACTGAGCAATTTATTTATTTATTTCCTTTTCATAACGCAACCATTCAGCTACAATGCGTTAAATTACAGCTGAGCCGTTTAATTAATATCGAACTTGACGGGGTTTAGAATAACCAGAATTTATTTATATCTACTAACTCGCACGTGCTAATGTATCCGGTAATCTCACACATTCAGATCGAATCTCTGCGCCCGTCCGGGTGATTCTACTCCTTGACATACAATGCGACCAACCACCAAAGTTATCCTGCGCTGTAGCCATGATATTAGGTGCTTGCATCATCATAACCAACCCATGTTTTATCGAAAGACTCTTCTCGAACCTTGTTGTTGCCGTACTAGAGGTAGGCAGTGCGAAGTGGATCTCGGGGTCTAATCCCAGAAAACCAAACCGGTCAGGCCGGCCAAAGAGCAGGGTCTTCAAACCGGAAAGCCGCTTGTCTTGTAAGAAAAATACTGTGTGGTGTTAGGCTGGCTTCCTCAGCTTTTAGTGTAGGAAGCAGCGTTTTGCGTTATATAGGTAATTCGAGTAAATAGGATTGTAAGAGTATTTCCATAGCTTCTTACAATACGATTTTATGAGAAGTACTGTCACTACATACCTCGGCACCAATGGACTGCAAATCTCCTTCTTCTGCAGCTTTTGACAGTTCTTGGTAAGGAGCGAATCCGTGGCTTTGAGCAATTTTTTTGCCACATCGGAGTTCCGCCGTGATGGGGGTGGTGACCTACTGAAGCAGAAAAAATGTCGGAATTTGTAAAAATTCACTTAGCTAGAATCTAAAATCCAATTTAATTCCCCAAAAACATTAGGACGAGGTTATGGTCAACAAGCATTCCCCCAGCCCCTTCGGTACTCATGACTCCAAAAGTAAATCTTGGTCTCAATGTGGTCTAAGCGAAACTATCACACCGCTCTCTCAGGGGTCATCCACAGATACCAAACTTGGAAAAAACAAAATTCTCTACTCTGATTGTCGTTACCTTCCCTTCCCCCCACCACTTCAGCCCCTTCTAAGTCGGAGCCTTCCTAAATCACCCGTAAGTTTCCACGAGAAATCCCCTCATTTCTTGTTAGTTCAGGTAGTTTCTTACCTCTTGTCAGATTTCGGGCTAGGGCTAACCGTCGTCTTCTCAGCAAGTGGCTCAGCAAACGAATTTGCCAGCTCGTATGGTGGCGGTTCAGAAGTCAAATCGAAACTCTGAAAATTAATAATTAACCTGAAATTCCAGAACTCCCACAAAAAGAATCGAAGAAAAAGCGAAAGTGTAATACTTCAAACAATATTAATAAAACAATTAAATGAATCTCATATAAATAAAACGCAAGCCATATAACATGGGTTACAGCAAATCAAATTGTGTAAGCGAAAATTATTCAGCAGTAAAACCAGAGAGGAGAATTTCAAATAGAGGAGGACATCAGGCTTCACCAGTCATTGCTGTTATTTTCAGTATGATCAGAGCAGTACGATTACTTGCAAACAACGTACTTCCGCTCTACCGCCCAGCCCGCTCACTTGCAACCGTCATGATCCGAATGGATCGACATCAACGCATGGCGCATACCAGAATCAGGTCAGTTTCGAGCATTCCTCTTCGCTTTCCTTCGAGTTGTTCGTGAACAGATTGCCAATGACGGGTAAGCTTTTTTGCGAGGTGAACAGAGTAAATACCCACGATATTCATGAAACGACTGTACTAATGGTAAGCTTAATAGTAATGTTTCAACTAAGAGTAAACAACTATTTTTTGAATCAACTTTCTTTATGCAGCGTTTACTGGGACAGTTTTCTCACCTGATCGCTCGAGGTAATGTCACTTGAATAGTTCCATCCACATGGAATCACTTTGTGAACAGCTGAGTAGGGCGGAGCTAAAAAAAG